CTGCTGTGGGCGCACAATGCCGGGCGGGGCCGCCTGCCCTGGGTGGGTGGGCGCTAGGGTTCCCTTCCCCGACGCTGGACGGCGGGACGCAGGGCTGGTGCCAGGGCTGAGCTGACGGAGGTGGACGGGCAGGGAGGGGCGTACTCGGCCAGGATCGCACTCGGGGCCAGTCTCCCGGCCTTTCTCTGCTGAGCGCTCGGCGCGGGGGTTGACTTAGCCAGGAAGGTTCCGGTTCCGGTCCCCTTTCTGAGGGTGTGTGGCCTTTTTCGATGTATCGGGGTGACACTGGTTAGTGACGCTGTGCGGGTTTTCAATGTCCACGTCTATACACGTGACCTGTATTGTGTTAGGCAAATTTTCTTGTTTTTTTTAATTGACTTTTTAGAGAGTAAGGGAGAGGGATAGAGAGTTAGAAACATCGATCAGCTGCCTCCTGCACGCCCCCTACTGGGGATGTGCCCGCATCCAAGGTACATGCCCTTGACCGGAACCGAACCAAGGACCCTTCAGTCCGAGAGCCAAGGCTCTATCCACTGAGCAAAACCGGTCAGGGCAAGTTGTTGTGGTATTTTTTTTTTTTTTTGGTTCCTTGCCCTCGGCAAGTGTTTATTTTAGCCATTGGGCCAATAAAAAAATGACACTTAGCCTTAGGAATGTGTTCATGGGTGAATTGCCTGCTAAACTTTCCGGTTCTTTTTTTTGTTGTTTCATCTTTTCTAATAGACAATGCAGATCTTCGTGAAGACCTTGACCGGCAAGACCATCACCCTCGAGGTCGAGCCCAGTGACACCATCGAGAATGTCAAGGCCAAGATCCAAGACAAAGAGGGCATCCCCCCTGACCAGCAGCGGCTGATCTTCGCCGGCAAGCAGCTGGAAGACGGGCGCACCCTGTCCGACTACAACATCCAGAAAGAGTCCACTCTGCACCTGGTCCTGCGCCTGAGAGGTGGGATGCAGATCTTCGTGAAGACCTTGACCGGCAAGACCATCACCCTCGAGGTCGAGCCCAGTGACACCATCGAGAACGTCAAGGCCAAGATCCAAGACAAAGAGGGCATCCCCCCTGACCAGCAGCGGCTGATCTTCGCCGGCAAGCAGCTGGAAGACGGGCGCACCCTGTCCGACTACAACATCCAGAAAGAGTCCACTCTGCACCTGGTCCTGCGCCTGAGAGGTGGGATGCAGATCTTCGTGAAGACCTTGACCGGCAAGACCATCACCCTCGAGGTCGAGCCCAGTGACACCATCGAGAACGTCAAGGCCAAGATCCAAGACAAAGAGGGCATCCCCCCTGACCAGCAGCGGCTGATCTTCGCCGGCAAGCAGCTGGAAGACGGGCGCACCCTGTCCGACTACAACATCCAGAAAGAGTCCACTCTGCACCTGGTCCTGCGCCTGAGAGGTGGGATGCAGATCTTCGTGAAGACCTTGACCGGCAAGACCATCACCCTCGAGGTCGAGCCCAGTGACACCATCGAGAACGTCAAGGCCAAGATCCAAGACAAAGAGGGCATCCCCCCTGACCAGCAGCGGCTGATCTTCGCCGGCAAGCAGCTGGAAGACGGGCGCACCCTGTCCGACTACAACATCCAGAAAGAGTCCACTCTGCACCTGGTCCTGCGCCTGAGAGGTGGGATGCAGATCTTCGTGAAGACCTTGACCGGCAAGACCATCACCCTCGAGGTCGAGCCCAGTGACACCATCGAGAATGTCAAGGCCAAGATCCAAGACAAAGAGGGCATCCCCCCTGACCAGCAGCGGCTGATCTTCGCCGGCAAGCAGCTGGAAGACGGGCGCACCTTGTCCGACTACAACATCCAGAAAGAGTCCACTCTGCACCTGGTCCTGCGCTTGAGAGGGGGTGTCTAAGTTAATCCCTTTTAAGCATTCAACCAATTTAAATTGCACTTTTCTTTCAATAAAGTTGTTGCATTCCCAAGTAGTGTGGTCTTTTTTTTATCAGTGCTAAGTATGGTTATTTTTATTTAGGGTGGGGTGTGAGGGTCAAGGTTTTTAGATGAAGTTTATTTTGTAGTAAGGAGGTATAATAAACTACTAACTCAAATACTGAGTTTGGTGTTGGGTACCTGAGAATGAAGAAAGTTTCTGGAATACCAGCAAGGAGATTTTAAAAAGGTGGGAGTGGTTAAAGGGAACTTAACAGTAGAAATCAATTTTAAAATACATAGCTCGATTTAAAATCAAAAGTTGTAGATAGAAGGTTCTTTGACCAGATTTTTAAAGAAAGTAATGTTACACATTATGCTAGTGGTTTTTTAGAGAATTAAAGCTATTGGTTGAAATATATTCAATATTCCTCAATTTCATGTAACAGCAGATGCAGAGTTTCTGTATAACTGATTGTGAATGAAGCAATTTGCCCTTGGTCCCCAGAAGTCTGGTCTCCAAAGAGCACTAGTCCTCATGGTGTAGAGGAAAATTGGTGTTTTCACTTGCTAATCGTAAAATACCTGAAGTCAACAGGTTTAAGTCCTAGATTTAGGGGAGTATAACTAGAAAATCCAGAAGTTGTAGGCAAATCCACTCTGGTGAGTTTCTCACTGTGTTGACGTAAGGAGGTAACGCATAGATCAGTGAATTTCCGTGACTCACTGCAAGTCATGTAAGTTGAGCAATGTCACAAGATCCTCAGAAACCCCACCAGCACCTGTAACCGCTTGGAGTCACGTTCGGAGCTGTGTAATTTTTTAAAATATATTTTTTATTGTTTTTTTTACAGAGAGGAAGGGAGAGGGATAGAAACATCGATCAGCTGCCTCCTGCACACTCCCTACTGGGTATGTGCCTGCAACCAAAGGTGCATGCCCTTGACCGGAATACATGACCTTCAGTCCACAGGCCAACGCTCTATCCATTGAGCCAAACCGGTTAGGGTGAGTTGTGTAATTTTGATATTCATTACAGGATGAAGGGCCCTAGCTGGATTGGTTCAGTGGATAGAGCCTTGGCCTGTGGACAAGGGTCCTGGGTTCAGTTATGGTCCTGGTTTGCGGGCTCAAGCCCCAGAAGGGGGGCGTGCAGGAGGCAATGATGTTTCCATCTCCCTCTGAAATAAATATGTGTGTGTGTAAAATGAAGGGCCATAACAGAAAAGAACCAGTCGCTTGAAAGTAACCACTGCAGGACAGGCATTGCCAAGTTCCTAAGTGTTGACTAGGCATTTTAGAGTCGGTACAAGTGGGCCGGTGGCTACTAACAGTTGAAAAAACGTGGCTGGTCATCTCGTGGCAGCCTGATAGGCTGACGATCAGTGGGGACCCTGCCTGCCTTCCCCCGAGCTGGAAGGGCCTGGGCATTGGTGCCCTAAAGCATTAGCCTAATAAAGCTGGGGGTGTTTCAGGGCTGGGGCGCTCAAACACTTGGCTCCTTGAAGTGCAGCTTCAGGGCAAGTGTGAAAGGAATTAATTAAAATAAACCAATGCAAACACATTAAAAACCAGATGTAGAAAGAATTGAATACAAGCTTATTCCCAGGAAAGAACGAGATGGGAATATATTTGCCTCGTTATTTTTAAAATATATTTTATTGATTTTTTACAGAGAGGAAAGGAGAGAGATAGAAATATCGAGAGAGAGAGACATCGATCAGCTGCCTCCTGCACACCCCCCACTGGGGATGTGCCCGCAACCCAGGTACATGCCCTTGTCCGGAATCGAACCTGGGACCCTTCAGTCCGCAGGCCGACGCTCTATCCACTGAGCCAAACCGGTTTCGGCTTCGTTATTTATTATACATACATATATTGTGTGTGTTTTATAAATGCAAAGATAACCCATCTAAATTCCCGAGTTAGCCATTTTTACTTCTCAGTGATTACTTTTTTTGAGTATCGATTTTTTTTTAATTTCAGTAATTTTTAATTAAAGTTGCACTTTTTTGGGTTTACCCCCTGTGTAATATATATATATACCATAATACACGCATGCACAAACACAAACACACAAATAGGATCATTCACAACAGTTTTTTAAAACAGCCCATGGAAAGAGTATATTCTCTTTTCATGTTAAGTTTCAACTTTAAGTCAGAAAATTCAACAAATTTTCTTAACCATAAAAACTTGCTTTACACATTATTTACATGTCACCAAACTCTGCAGCCCCATCACACATCACAGGGTTGGGCTGCATGGCACCACCAGCCTTTCTTTCCTAAACAAGCTCGCTCAGGCCTTTTTCCCAAACCAGCACATCTCCGT